TTGAAAAAAATAGTTATTTTTGATATATTTTGCTGGAATATCTTCCATAACAATGTTATGTGAATCTAATGCAGCAAAACAGTTTCAAAGGAATTCTCAACCACAACGCGAGGCACAACCAATTAGAAACATGAAAAATCATTAATTATTTTATAGCAGTAGTTATCGCTATAGTTTATAGCAGTATTTACTAATTTATCATTCACAATGCAAGAGTAAACTTAATTTTACTAAATATACAATAAATATAAACTTATTGCTTAAAAAAGCTTAAGCAAATTCTGTTTAGATTCTAAAACAGGAAGAAGTTCTCTGTGAGCTATTGTTGCCTTTATAAACCCGTCTCGTCTTTCCTGTCCGTAAACTATACTAGAAGCTCATGTAACTTCTTTCACAATTCTTTCTATGAATTGCCCATGTACAGGAAATTCTGGAACATCCATTGGGACTTCTAAAAACTTAATAAGTTCTGCTTTACCAATCTTGCATGTGAGCAAAGGTTTGTAAATATCATTACTCCAATCAATCAATTCGATAATAGTTTCAACATTAGTATTTATATTTGGGATATTTCTTGGTCTAACAGCAGTAATTCCTAGAGAGCTTGAATTCTTTATTGAAAGTATTTTATTGACTGTAAATTTCTTCTCCTCTTTATTTTTGCTGCATAGTAGTGCTTGTAGAATAAATTCACTATGAGCATTCCAGGCAGAGGAGCAAACATAGGGCAAAACTGCTTGTTGAATATTTAAGTTTATTTTTCGGACTAGTTCCAGCTGTTTGATAATATGGTTTGGTCCATTGGTCCATTTATGTTTTACCTAAACATTAATAATACATTTTTCAAAAATAAATAGACGATTATCAAACTACATATAAACATTTCTTACTTTAATTTCAAACCATAATAGAGAATATACACCAACACAAAACTGTACAAGTTGTTTTAAATTCTCAGCATCGTTTTTATTTAGTCCATGCTCTGAACACCAAATTCTGCAAAGTCTACTTGCCAAATTCAACCAGCGTGCGTTATTGTGGGGACCAACTTGAATTTCTTTTAAATTTTTGAGCATTATTTTATTTTCAATAGCCTTTGTTATTCGGTATAGATATTTTTGATCACTCAATAAAGTTTTTAAAATATCTTCATTAATATCTAATAAATTAATTTCAGTATCTATATCTTGAATCACAGTGGAAATTATGAGATCATTGGCAATAGGAACAAGTTTACCAATATTGCCAGAAAACTTGTTATTTGAAGTTGTTTTCCCGTCAATAATTGACATTAAGTGCCTCAAGGGTAGTTCATTTGTTTGCAAAGCGCAAACTATCCAAATAAGTTTTGTTTGAAGTTTTTTTTCTAAAAAATAAATGATACCTCCTTTCTAACCTAAAAAATAATTGTGTTTAAATATATGTATGACATTTATTATTAAATATTTACCTGTATTTATTATCAATCATTTACCTGTATTAAGATTGGAAGAATCACAGCCTACAGCAACAAGAGTTGATTCTACCCCATGTTTAATAATCTGTTTATATGTATGTTCTGCTATGTGCTCTGCTGGGGTATTACACTCAGATCGGTTTTCTTTATCATTTGTAAAATGGTACAGTTATAAACCACCTGGCTCTACACAAACTGAATAATGGCCTTCTTGAACAAGTCTGTGGTGAAATTTTCCATCTTCTCCCATCAAAAAACATTTTGTCTCATCCTTTCTTCCATCAAATAAAATGCATTGAACTCCATCTTTTACAACATTATCATTTTCAGATTTTAATTGTTTTATCACCTTCACCTTCCTGTTTCTTTAGCTGCTTTCAGTGCTAATGTTGAAATAGCAGCAGTTGCTCGATTTGATACCCCATATCTTATTGATGCTAATGCAATTTCTTCCATATTCAATGTCTTTTTTGTAACTTGTCTACTAATGTACTCAAAACTATTGTCAGAAGCAACATCTTCATTGTCAGTATTCGCAATATTATCAATTGTTTCTTTGATTTCATTTTCTTGAGAATGAAAAGATAGGTATTCTATTTGTGGCTTCTTTTTTCCAGTGGCCTTTCTTTTATTATTATTTTTCTTGTCTATTGGTTTCGAAGCACCCATTTGCATACTACTTTTTGTTCCAAATTTTTCTCTTTGAAATTTCATAAACTGAAATTCTATTGTAGGAATTTTGTTTTCTCTATTGCATTGACAAAAAATATGCGCTTTAAAATTACAAGAATTACAACTAGCCTCCTCACAAGAAACAATGTCACACTTGCACTTTGCTATATCAAATAGCTTGTCCAGAGTAGAGTTAAACTTAAAATAATTTCAGGTTTACACCTATAGTAATAACACCCACTTTGTCCGTCACAATAGGAATTTCAGGATTTGCTTTCAACCATTGTGTTTTTACTTTATTTCACCTTTTTGCATGTATTTTTAAGTTTTGCATTTGCTTTGCAGTTTTCATCTCTTCTTAGAAGAAGACCATACTTTATAATATCTCTTAATGTGGGTAACTCAGAATCTAAAAACTCACTTACAAAACCGATCATAACACTTAGTTTGCAACTTTATGCAATGATATTTCATAAGTTTTTTCATATAATCTACTAAATAAATTTAAGTTTAACCAAAACATCATTGTAACTACGCAAGATATTCCAGCAAAATATATCAAAAATAACTATTTTTTTCAACTTTAATAATTATAAGTTTTTAAGCTAAAATGACTTTCTAGGTGTCTAATTAAGGGTATTTGGGATAGAGGATTCCATAAAAGATCTTTTTGAGTCAATTGGAGCAACTGGTCAAAAGTTGCGGCAAACCGCGTATATAGCGTTTTTTTACCCAAAACCTCAATTTTTTAGGTCAAAATTTGAAAACCTGAAAATAAAAATTTTTTATTTTGGATTACTTTTATACAAGCGCCAAAACATTTAGAAATCATATGGCCTAAGCATTTACTGGAAAAAGTTGAAAAATGACCCGCCCTATTAGCCATACTCAATGAACTGGCTGAATAAAAATATTTTCTTTATTCGTTTGTAGATAATTTTCTTAATTATTGTTTTGTTTATGAGATGCAATTACATTTTTGAAACCTATAATGAATTTTTACTTTTACTTTCTTATTTCGTTTTTCTGATTTAAATGCATTAAAGTAAAACATCATATTACTGAAAAACAAAGTTCTATTTTACACTCAATAAAGTTGCAAAATACTCAAAAATAATACATTAGGTGAGTTGCATATTGAGTATTCTACTTAACAAAAATAGGTATGATAAGTTGTGTACTGAGTATTATACTCAAAAAAATGCATGTGTTGAGTTTCCTAATGAGTATGATGTGAGTGTATTACTCAATATGCAATGATAGACACGCATATAAGAATGAATGGAATCCTGTATTATCATTATTTAATAAGGTTTTATTATATTGCATTGAACATTCATATTGTTATATCTTTATTTAAATATCTATTAACTGTGTTATAAAGTTTGCACATGTCCCATAGACATGTGTGTTATCTCATTGTCAGCCAAAAATTTCACTTTTTATTCTTTTCTTAAACAAGTAACACTTGGCAATAGGTCACACTTGGCAAGATCAATTTTTATTTATATTAATTTATTCATAATCATATTGATCATGCCCACTAACTCCCCCTGCCATCCTTACCCCACCCCTTCTACTGTCTCATATTTAGTTCTTATTATAAATATTCAATACACTTAAAAAAAAAGTTGTTTTTTTTTTCTGCTTTAAATATTTAACCAATTTTTGTTTAAATTTTTGATTATTTCAGAAAAATGGGAAAAGCAAAAAAAGCTATAATACTGATCAATTACAACCCAGAAAGACCCGCCTACCTCTGAAACTCCACTACATTCTCTACATAGCAGGCACTTGCCTACTAATAGTCATGTTACTGATATTTTCTGTAAGTTATTTCCCCCAGGGTTAAAAGGTTCATATTGGCAGATCGTTGGCTGATCCTGATTTTGACAGATCTACCAAAATTGTTGTTAAAGGTTAGCTACTTACATTTCCTTTACCAAACAAGGTTTAGAAGCTAAGTTTTAAGCTTTTTTTTAAGCTTAGAAGCTCCTGGTACAACATCCATCTCAAAGTCTACTAAACCTGAAGAATTAATTACAGAGGAGAACTAGCTTCTCTTTCTTCTTACCAATACCACTTGTGCAGTAGCAGATTGGGGAAGACTTCCAATAACTTTCATCTTATAAAGACTTTTGCAGCTTCATTGTAGGTTAAGTGTCACGATTCAAGGTCTTTTCCAGGAATTTGTTGATTCATCCCACAACAAAGATCAATGCCAGAATATATTGTTTGTTGTCCGAGAGTACAGAAAGATGAGGTGCTAGAAAATAATTGTTATCAAGTGACTTTTTTTATATGCGTCTTTAATAGAGAAAACAATTTCAACTAACAGTTTAAAATTACATTTCATTTATAATAAAGTTGAAAATGTTTCATTTTCATAAAAAAAATTTTATTAAAACTCAGCTTTTACTTGTAGCTTAAAAACAAGTAAAAACTTGTAGAGTTTTTACTTGCTTCTAAGTCTCTAAGTTTTTAGAGTTTTTACTTGTTTCCAAAATGTTCGAAGTAAAATATTTTTGGGGGGATTATATGGTTTGTTAGCATGTTGAATTTATGAAAAAAGTTATTTTTGACTAAATTTGGGTCACTAATGAACATTGAGCTTGAGTTTCCTTAAGTAAAAACAAAAATTAAAAAATAATTTAAAAAGTTATTTAATTCGTTATCAATTTAAGTAAGTAATTTATTAGTAGTTATTAGTAAATTATTATAATAACTTTTTTATATAGTAATTTATAATAATTTTTATTTATTTTTATTTATTTAGTTTATAATAATTTAGTTTTTTGTTTTTATTATTATTATTATAGTAATTTATAATAATTTTGTTTTGTTTTTATAGTAAAGTATTCTTACAATTAAGGTTGAAGAGACAGTTGACATGGCGTTATCTTACTTTCCGGAAGACCATCAAATTCTTCTTCAAAAAGCAAGCTCCAAACGAGAAGTTAAAGATTACATTCAAGCAAAAAACGTTAGTTTTAGTAAATACTTGTTACTAATTAAACATATTGATTTACTTTCACTAAATAAATTTAAATAATATATACTTTTATTTTCTAGATGTTTTTTTTTGTTTTATTATTTTTTCTTTCTTTTTTTCTAGACATGACATTATTTATTATTAGATATATCATTCAATTTTGGCAAAGACTTCAAATAATTTTGATGCTTTATTAAACTTAGCCATTGTTCTTCATATAGAGGTTATTGTTATGCGTATTATTTTTGTTTTTTAGTAGAGGAGAAATGATAAGCTTTGATTTGGGGCTTTTTAAAAAAGTATATATGAAATAGATTTCTTTTTTTACTGATATCAGGAGTAAACATGAGAAAGGTTAAGGGGTTTATTTTGTTTTTAACAACAAAATGTAAACAGTTTTAATATGTACTTTTAGGTTCTTCTTTTTTTAATCACATTTTTAATAATTAGTTCGCTTCAGTGCCGCTGAGAGGGGCTCTGGTTCGTTTTGTTTAATAAATATCAACTTTTGTTATACATTAAACTAAATATTGAGACGCATTTGAGGTGGCTCTATTAAAAAAGTAATCAAACTTCACCCTTTCTACCCTAAAAGCCTCACCCTTTCTCTCCTACAAAACTCATTATTTAAAAATAATATAAAAATATAATTGTTTGTGTTTTGTAAAATGATACGTATATATTTTACGTCACTCTGGTTTTGAAGAATGTATGACTATTATAAACTGCTGTTCTATATAGGGTAATTACGAAGAGGCGATTGGTTATTATGAAAAAGCGAAAGAAATTCGTCCACGTGATCCTATCGTAATGGAAAATATCTCGAGAGTAAAACGATTACTATTAAAAACTGTTTAAACTAAAAACCCTTAAATAATGCTTAGTTATTAATAATTTAGTGGATGCGGTTCGCAAGTTTTCAAATTATTTTATATTAACTGCTATATTTTGTTCAATAAAGTATATTTCTTCATAGATTGTCTCTAACAATCGTCAAAACTATAGATACTCAAAACAATTTTGACAGTAAATAAATTTTTAAAATAAACAACTTTTTTCTTTTTATAAATAAACATTAATTTAACTTGTTATTTGAACTGTTCAGTTGGTCAATGAACATGCGTGGTTTCAGTTGGTCAATGAACATGCGTTTCTGTTGGTTAATTTTTTTTATATATTTTTTTGTATCCAGTTTAGGTATTTAATTTTTTTGTAATGGATTGAGATTTTTTTATTTTTTAAACTGATGTTATTGCTTAAGTCTTTTTTGTTTACTTTTTCTTTAGTTTATTTTGATAGTAAATCGTTTAGTGACGCGTGTACTATTTTGGGTTGGTGGGGAAACTCTGAGGGGACAAGCCAAATTTTGGAAAAACTTAGGGGAGGGGTGAAATATCCTGACTGGGTATCATTAAATAAAACAAATCAATTATTGAAACAAATAAGAGAGGTAAATAGAATTTTTAAAAATTTTTGTTTATTTTAAATTTAACTAATAGATAAAAATACATTCATCATAATATTGTTTATTTGTAATGTGTAGTTATTTAAATATTGATTGGATTAACATCGAGATAATTGATTGAAATTAAGTAGTAGCTTTCAAGTTTCAGCTTTCAAAGACCCACAAATAAAACTGTAAATACACTACAACGTAGATGTTTAGTTCTACTTTTCGTTTTAAAACTGAACTGCCTATCTCGTATAAAATACAGTTGTGCTTCTCTCACAGCCTTGGTGCGGATGAGGAAAGAAAATTAGCGGATTACAAGACATTATAAACTGTATAAAATATACTTCACTTACAAAAACTGGAAATACTAGGTTTTCTGTGTCGCAAAATCTTTCATAAAACATAAAAAATGTTTAGCATGTCTGTTATCAAATTTCTCCTGATATGTTTTGCTATGTATGTGAATATTGTATTTGCAAAAAGCAAGTATTATCAAAGCTTTTGATCACATAACGGTTATGACGTATGTAAGGTATTATAAATAGCGTACTCAAAATATTTTGGAACGCTCATTGGTGATCAGGACAAACCATGGGCCTCTAATGTGATATGAAGAACGTTCCGAACCTTTTTTCTTACTACGATAACTAAAAAGATTGAAGATTATGAAACTTACAAAATACTTTGAAATTAAGATTGTTTTAAACAAGTGGAGTAGTAAGTAAATCTTAAGTAAGTAAGTAGTAAGTAAACCTTTAAAACAAGAAGTCATCGCGCGACATGTTTTATTTCAATACTAGTATTGTATCTCTAGATAAAAGAAATAATACATATGTTATTTCAGAAATATGAAATATATCGGTATGAAAGAAATTACCTAGATTTGTTTATAGAAAATATTTTTATTAATTAGGTAGTGATTTATTAAATTTACTTGAGAATCAATTTTATTATAAGTAATATTTGTTCTTTACACTGTCTTAAGAAATATTGAGCAGTAGTTAAAGCGGTGGTTTCAAAAGATTTGATGCTCTGACCATAATTGCAACATCGTAAAGAAAAACAGTGCGAAATAAGTTATAACATTGTTATAAAACTAAAATATACCAGTGGTAATTTGTTTTTTAATTTTTTAAATCCTTGTCTTCTAAAGAATAATAATATTCTTTTAAAGAAGCAATCTGTTTCAAATTAGGAAACAAGATGTCTTGGTTGAAATAAAACAATCTAATTAAATTCAATTGGATAAAATTATAGTTGAGTTGTACGTCTAAAACATAGTAGAGTTGTATGTCTAAAACAGAGTAGAGTTCTTTGTCGAAAACAGACAAAAATACATATATACAATGTTTTTTAACTTTTTATTCGAATGAAACTGAAAAATAACGCTTTTTATTACGGATAAACAACTGGGTGATTTATAATCACATGTCGAAATAATATTTTTCAATTACAAAACAAATAAGTTTATGAAAGCAATTAATATTTTATTGACTTTAAGGAAAAAAACGTTTGTTGAAATAAAACACTAATGTACTGATGTTTTAAGTGTTTTTTTGTTTTGTTTGTTTATTTTTTGCTGTATATATATTTGCTGTATATATAAATACAATAGTTATTCCACAATAACCTAAATGATCGGGGCAAAAAATAAAAAAGTTGCCTTATTGCCAAGCCCCATAATTTTGTAAGAAAAAAAAAAAGCTTGTACGCCATATAAGCTCAAGGCCGGAGGGGGGGGGCCAGGGGAAACGTGCTCCCCCCCCTCCCCTTTTTTTCTGAAGGACCTTTTTTTTTTTTTTCAACGAAAAATCTTGATATAGAAAACTTTTTTCACAAATTGATGATTGTACCCCCCCCCCCCCCCCACACACACACACACATAATTTTATTTAAATTGTTACCAATTTTAATAAAATTACTTTAAAAAAATAAGTAAGTTAATAAAAAGTAACAATATCTTTTAAAATATTAACATTTGTTTGGTAGACATTGAGTTTATTCAGCTTAAAAAATAGTTCTTGGGAGTGTGTAAAAGAGCAATCTTGAATATTATTCTAACGGCATATTTTTACTTATTAATTTGGATGAACTGAAGAGATATATAAATTTTTTAAGCAAATTAGATTTAATAAAGATTTTGCTTTATAAAATAAGCAAATGTTTCTTGAGATTTTACTTTTAAGATAATGTATATAATCTGTCCGAGTTACGTCTTCGTGTCTAGAAATTTTATGTCTAGAAATATTAATATTTTCTTTATAAAGAGAAAAATTTATAAAGGGAATGCTCATAAAATTTCAGGACGTGCTCATTGACATAAGCATAACTTGGACAGATTGTATAGATTATCTTAAAATTAAAATTTCAAGTAACATTTGCTTATTTTATAAAGCAAGACCTTTATTAAATCAAACATGTGATAAAATTACATAATAACAATATAAAATCACAAAACAAGTTGCGAGAAAATTACTATAATTAAAAAGAAGAATTAGAATTTCCAAGGAAAAGTTTTATAAATTAAATAGGTTAAATCTAAAGAAAAAAATTGTTTTCTCCATTTAAGTGCAATTGAAGAAAAAATTTATATATTTTTTATTATATAAATATTTTCTTCTTATATTAAATATTTTTAAAAAAGATTTTCTTATTAACTATTATTCCTTTATAAGCTTTACTTTTCTACTTTCTCTTGCTTAAACTTAGTTTTTCCACTCACCTAATTTTATTATCGAAATAATACATGTTATTTGCGAATAATTTAATTTTCTTAATCACTTAGAATTTCTCTTCGCCAAGTTTTGTTTTGAAATGATTTGTTTAACTGCAAAGTATTATGATTGTAATTATTGTAAAACGCTTTTTTTTTTGATTATATATTATATTTAAATTAAAAACACAATTTGTCAGTATTTCCAATTTGCAAACAGCTAATCTGTTTCAAATTATTAAACCGCTATGAGTATCTGTTTGCTTTGAGTATATAATGAAACGCTTTAACAAATTAATTAAATCTAGACAAAATAAGAAAAAGTTTAATAAAGATGATTCTAACACTCAAATTTAGGATAGAAAATGCTCTTAACATTCAAATGTAGGATGGAGAATGATCCTTATACTCAAATACCGAATCAGTAAGTAAAAGCCGAAATATCCGATTAATAAAAAATACTACTAATAATCTTATTATTGCTATGAAAGTTTGCATTCTGGCTCGAGTGATTTTTTTAATGGTAGATGATTTCTAATTTTTTATCAAGATTGAGATTCTAAGCGATATCCGGCCGGATATGACGAACCAAGTTTACGTAAATAGAACTTCCTTTATAAAAGCATATAAATGATTTTTTTTTCTTTTCTTTTTTTCTTTTCTTTAATGATGACATCGTTGTGATGATTAACACATTTAAGGACGCAACATTTTGAAAAAATCATAATTTATTAATTTAAAACATTTTAAATTTTATATGATAAACTAGTTTTGGATGTTTTGAAATTGCGATCAAAGTTTTATTCTGAATCTGACGGTATTGACGTTGGTCAATAGTTTAGAAAATAATAATCCATTATGTATGCGTTTATTTCCTCATTCATATATTCAGAGGCGATTTTACGGGTGTGTGTGTGTGGGGGGGGGGGGGGTGAGGTGTTATGACCCCCCCCCCCCTCCCTAAAGAAAGTGATTCTCAAGTTATAGTCGGTTTTTTATGAATTAATTCGGCAGGCGGCTATTTGACACAATTGGGTGGGTTAAATTTTCATTTTGAGGACCTTTTTTTTATATATATATAAGAAGCTAGTCGGTACTTTTTGAAGATTCACCCGCTCTTATTTTATTTGTAGAATCGCCTCTGCATATATTTTGTATTGGATAAATACATTCTTTCTTTTTTTTTTCTTATGTAAGTTAGCTTGATCTGTCTTTTATTGTCCATACAATAGAAAGAAACTTTATTTTTGTTATTTTTGTCATTGATTATTACGGTAACCGACATTAGTCTTAGAAAATAAAAATCTGGTCAAATATAAAATTCTTCTAAACATCTTCTTCTAAAAGTATTTCATTGTTATCAATGTTAATTTTTCATGGTTAGTGACTTAAAAATAGTTAAAGATCTCACAAAAAATTCATATTATAAAGTTTTGTGCAAAACACTTTTTTTTTCAATACGCAACACAACAAGTCACTTTATATCGCTTATTTTAATATTATTTCATTCATTATTATATTATTATTTATTATTTTAATTGTTCAATTTTCTAACAAATTTAAGTGATTATTTTGAATCAATGAAAAATTAAGGTAATTAAACATTTAATTTTAAATTAATTTCGTCCCACTGGGCAAAAGACGTGTTTAAAACGTCGAAAAAAAAAACACGTATTAAATACTATTAATGCGTTTTAATTTCATATAATGTCAACGTTGTAGCAAATTGTAAGCACAACTGTAAGAGTATTGTAGCTAATTCGGTTGAACTATTAGATCGATATCCAAACTTAGATTTGCTTCTTTTTCAACAAGTGTGGATTGTTCACTGCTTGCTCTAGATTATTTACAAGTTTATTAGTTTTTAAAGATAAGTTTAGTAAGTTACTAAGTTTATAAGAAAACAAAGGAAAAATAGTTGCAGAACATTCAAATATCACTCTGGAGGGAAACTCATCTATACTCCCCTACCAAAACAAAAAAAAGCAAGTCACTGAAACATGATTTTGTAAAAAAAATTAAAACCAATCAACATAAAGCTCTTCTGGTTCATTGCAATTAAATGCGATAGTGATATTCTTTAGGGTTTAAAATGTTGTAAAACTAATTCGTATATACCATAATGTGGGAGTTGCTTCACTTCAACAGACAATAAATCTTATCTTAGGCCAAAAATGGGCTTGCTTCCTTTAGCTGTGGTAGAGCTGTATATATGCTGCTCTGCCACTGCAAAAGCACCAACAAGTATTATATAAGTTTAACAGCGACTAAATTGAAAAGCGTCAACAAGTACTTGTTGACGCTTTTTAATTTAGTTGCTGTTAAACCTATATATAAGAAACATATCGCAAAAAATTTCTTTTTGTGAGTTTTTCTAATTTTTAAAAAATTAGAAAAACTCACAATCATTAGGAAAACTCACAATCATTAGGAAAACTCATAATCATTAGGAATACTCACAATCATTAGGAATACTCACAGTCATTAGGAAAAGAACTCAGAGAAACTGTTGGGTTTTTATTGCTGGAAAAACCAATATAACTTTTTATTTCAGAACTTTTCAGGATCCTTTTTTGAATTTTTCAATAAAACCTGTGTATTTTTCAAATCTCTTAATATATTTTCTGCTTTATTTCGCGTATATTTTTATTTGCGTCAGTAATATGTGTTGTTAAAACTATGCTTTTAAATGTGTTTTGTCATTTTTGTTAACTTACATTTTATTGTTATTATTTAACCACCCTTTAGTTTTTGTTTGACCTTATTTATTAACTAGTATTTTGACATTAACTTAGTTATTTTTAAGCATTGCTTTTTTTATTTTATAGTATTTTGTTAGATCCATCGTAAAATTAAAAGACATAATTAACAATAAATATATTATGAAATAAGATAATGTGAAATGTTGTTTCATGGTACCACCAGTAGGCATCAGAAAGCATATAAACTTTAAAATATATATTTGTAAATAACCTTTTCTAAATGACTTTCTAATTGCGAAAAACTTTTTCTATATTTTTATGCAAGGTGGAGAACTAAATTGTTATCACTGTGTAAGCAAAAAATCGTTAGAAGATTGTGAATCAAAACAAATAGAGAGCATTGGTTGCAGAAATTCTTCTTTTGAATCTTCATGTTACATCTTCCAATCATTGAGTAAAAATGGTGAACTTTCCATTGGTAAAGATTGTATAGCAACAATGAAATGTTCAAAAGAAATTGGATGTCATCCAAATAGTGTTGATTGCAAGGTAAATTATATATTATACTGTCTAAAAAAAGTATACAACACTGCAAAATGAATTTGTACTGAGTGAACTTTTTCAGTTTTAAATGTAATAAATGGATTTTATTTTCACTACGATCTATAGTTAAAATTTCAAATTTTAACTATAGATCGTTCGATATTCAAATTAGAGCATTTTCTAAATATAGTACAAACTCAAAACTTTTGTTTTATTGCGTTTAAGAGAAAATGGGGGCAAGCTGGCGAATGAAGAAAGATGGCTTTTCTTATAAGAACTCAACAAAAAAGTTTAAAAACTGGAAATGAAACTCTTTTTATAACTCATACTTTAAAACACTGATTGGTTTTTTTAAGTTTTTTTTTAAGTAACTTTAGACGCATAAGTTTGTTTTTTGAGCTTAAAAAAAATACCTGGGTGGTGTACTTCGGGTGTAACATTTTTAGGGATAATTTTTTGCAACACATGTTTATTTTGTACTACTTTAGTTTATAACTAACAGTTTTCAAAATACTCAGTATTTTTTAAATGTTCACCATCTTGTTCCGTCTTCCTCTATATCAAATAAAAATGTTGCAACAAAAATTGCAATTATACAACTTAGGAATAAAAACATCAAAAAGTTGGTCTCACCACCAAATTATGGGGTAATTCCGTTTTTCAAAAAACTAATCGACTAAAACTCTTTAGACTAGATAAGAAATTTGACAATAAATTTAATTCAAAAAATGATTTTTTGCTTGAAAGCTCCATACAATGTTTATTAAAATTAATGTTCAGGATACTAAAAACTCTAAGATATTAGGGTTCCAGATATCGGTAGAACTTTAGTGCAAACGAGTGCAACCAGGAAAAAGTTTGCGACACGCAAATGTTCGCAATAGTAAGCATATGAATGTATGATCTCAAACGCCTGGAAATTTTGTAATAAAATTTTGATTCAGTATTAAACCTTGTTCTAAAATTAAAAAAATTTTGTTTTAATAAACATTTTTCAAAACATTTTTTTTTTTTTTTTTTTTTTTTTAAGTTTACATTTGTCGTAATACAATACTTTAACAAATACAAACAAGGTTTCTGAAAGAAGATCGTACTGATCTTATCATCAGAACCTTTTACAAGCATTTAGCATAATTATTTACAATGTATATAATCTATTTATAAAATAAACAGTAAAAGTAAAAAGTAAAACAAAAAGAGTCGTTACATATAACGTATTTTACAATTAACATAAAACGTATTTTACAATTAAAAAAGTTCTAAATAAAGGTACATAATTACAATTAGAAGAACCTTATTATGTCATCGGAAAATAAAATTTTTGAGTTAATGTTTGAAAATTGGAAAAGTGTAAAATATATCAAAATTTGGCAAAACAACTTTATTCCAAAGGTATGGCGCACGATAAGCAATACCATACTGGTTAAACTTAGTTCGACAAAAAGGTTTATGCAAAAATTTATTATTTCTAAGAGTGTATTTATTTATTGGTTTTTCACAAAAGAGAACTTTAAAGATAGGTAGGGATAAGTCATTTTTCCACAAATACATAAAGCATAAAACATTAAACACATTAAGCTCGAAAATATTAAAAATTTTCATTTCAATAAAAAAAGGTTTGGAATGAGTGTGTCGATCCGCAAAATTAATTAAACGGATCGCATGCTTCTGACGGCGGTAAAGACATTGTAATTTGCTTTTTTCTGTGCTTCCCCAAGCAACATTTGGGCGGAACAACTTTTTAGGATGCAGGTTTTTGTTTTTCAAAAGTGGAAAACTTTTTTTTTTTTTTGTCATCAATACGACGTATTGATGACAAAAATTACTTTTTGCATATTCGTAAAAGCCGTTGATTTTCTAGATGTTTTCCAATTAAACTTTTACCCGGCATCCCGTAAGAACGTAAGTATCTTATGAATTAGCATGTGTGTATATGTATGTGTGTGTGAGAGAGAGAGAGAGTATCTTTGTGTATATCTTATTGTATATAGGGGAAAGCGGGGCAACATGGCGAATAGGGCAAGATGGGTTTTCATATAACAACTTAACAAAAATTCTTAAAATTGGGTGAAAACGAAACTGTATTTGCATCTTGTATTTTAAAACACCAATTGGTTTTTTGAAATATTATTAACGCAATTTTATACGCATAAGTATACTTTTTGCGCTTAAAAATAAATTCCTCTCTTTCGGTTTCTCATAATGGATGGTGTCCTTCAAGTTTAACTTCTTTAGAAGTAGTTTTTTGCAACTTGTGTTTATTTTTTGTTACTTTATTTAGAGATATTGGTAGGTTTTAAAATTTTATAAAATTGGAGGTAAAAATAGCATAATAAATCATCTTGCCCCAGTCACGTAATCAGATGACAAATTTATGAACTTTTTATTTTAATATTTATTTCAAATTGTTATATTTGCAAACAGAAAATTCATGCAGGCAATAAAGGATTTTAATAACATAAACATACTCAGAAAGTATTATTACTTCACGACTGATAGTTTTGCAATAACTCAGGGCTTTCAAAACGTTCGCCATGTTGCCCCGCTTTCCCCTACATTACAAATGTGTTTTAATGAAACTCAAGTATTTATAAATATTTACATATTTTATAGTTTCTTAGATATAAAATGCAATCATATACAATAAGAAGAAAAATTAAACTGTTTTATGATAATTCACGTTGTAGGTAGGGCTTGGCGAACTATTTTATTTTATAGGTAGGGCTCGGCGAAAACTGGAAAATTTTAAAAAACCGATATTTTATTATATTTTTATTATTGCCGTATAAATTCAATGTAACCTACTGAGTTTATATACTGGAATTAGATCTGTAAACTAAAGAAAACAAAAGTTTAAGAAAAAAAAATTTAGCTAAATCAATTTTTTTAACAATAAAAACACTGTTTAAAGTAATTGTCTCTTGAAAGGTTTTTTTAATAAAATAACTTCAAACAACATAATTATAACTCAATAACCTATTTTTTATTTTCATACTATTCATAACTAAATATATTACTCTTAACTGAAAATTATGCATGTGATATGTTTACAAAAGTAAAATGTAAAGATATACTTATAATATTTAAAGTAATACTAAAGCCAAAAATACAAAAAAAAAAAGGTTTGTTGAAAACAAATTTGTTTTTACTGTTTGTTTATTTTAATTTGAGATTAAAGTTAGTGGTGCTTGTTATGTAAACTAATAATTGAAAAAATATTGAAATAAATAAAACTAAATTTAATATCAAAGTGTTTTTTTAAATTATATATTTTTTCACGATATTTGTGCTTTCTAGGTTACTTGTTAACTTTTAAAAACAAGAAATCTTTGAACAATTTATCTATTTAGCAATTTATAATTAACAACCGAGTTAACCAATTGCGGTTTTTACCGATTGCCAAGTCCAAGTTGTAGGGATACTTTGAAATGTTTTTAAATTTATAAATATTATATCGTTGAAACCAGTAAATATAAGCGTTTTATAGACGTCTTAAAAATCTATTTAGATGTGTTAAACACATCTTTTTGCTGGTAAAATATTAAAAAAAAAAAAGTAGTTGATTCCTGTTAAGTTCCCGTTAAGTTTGTTGAGTGTACTTTACAATAACTAAAGGTAATAAAGCTTGGAACTTATTGTGGATAAGGGAACTTATTGTGGATAAGGGAATTCAGAAAACTGTTCAATTGTATTTAGAATATAGTTGCACAAATGTCAGCTACCTACAAAAAGCAATTGAAAAAAATATTTGTATAAACCTGTCAATAAAACAATTAGTGAAATAAGACATCTAAAATATCAAACTTTTTCTCCGTATTTCAAACAGCAATTATAGATTCGTCATGGTACAAAACGAAACATGGGTGAATTATCAATAAAACTTTCACTAACACTAAGCGTATGTATGAATTTATAAACTTTTTATTTTATACACTTTAATGATGTAAGTATGAGACAAAGAAAAAATTAAATAGTAAGAAAGTGCAATAAGATATAAAAATACTTTTATACAATATTTATACAATTTAAAAAAATATATATAAATAATGTACCGTTAAATTATTTCTTATCAAAGTTGTTTCTCTGAGTCCGTAAGCTCAGTTTTTTTTTTTTTGAAAGCTGCTCAATTTGCTCTACTAGACAATGTGACACATTAGTGAGGTTTTAAAGAGAACAGTAAGACTTAAAAAAAAACCGGTAAGACTTAAAATAGCGTGTGTATATAAACTACATTTATCAGTTAAAAGACTTAAAAAAAAAATTTATTCGAAAGTTCGATAAATTGGTAAAATATCAACACTTAATTGATAGCAGATAAAAAAAATTATAAGCATCCAAGAAAAAAAAAGCAAGAAAAAAATTTTTCTTTACTTTTTTGGTCCAAATAGAAAAAGGGCCGTGTATCTTACTCAACAGCTTTCCAGCAATCTTTTGTTATGCATTGTGTTAACATTCTTATTCCCTAACTTTCATCCATTAGATGTTTTGTCATGTGATGAGTAGTTTTTGGGATAATTTAAGTGCCCAACTTGCCCCTATACTTAACTAGCCCTACTCTACCCTAAACTTGTAAAAATCATGTTTGCAGATTATACAAGTTTAAGTCCTGAATTATTAATCCTTGGCCTTGCCTTAAGGCCAAAATTAAGACTTTGGCCTTAGTCTTGAAACTGCTGGTCTTGGCCTGGGATTTGGCCTTGAAAATTTTGGCTTTGGCTTTGATTGTTTTGGCCTTGGCCTTCCACCTTTTCTTTAAAAATTCAGATCTTTCTTTCGTGTTTGCATTTTTTAAATTTTACTACAGCTGGTTTTGCTAACAAGAGTCATTTTTGTTAACTT